TTGACAATTCTGTGCGATATGGGACGCGTGGGAATTTGAATTGGAACAATGCATTCTTGCACATATGCCTAAATGTGTCCAAATGAACAAAAAGGGCGATTTTTTAAGAAGAATATTATTGATTACCAGCAATATATAACAAAAATATGGATTTGAAAATATAGTTATCACAACACAATTTACTAAAATGAAGTTCATCATCATGAATGAGATGAAAAAGATGTGCAAGCTTCGTTGCAATGAAAAAATAACATAATTTAATCCATATATCTTAAAGCTTCTCTTAAAATTAATATAAAAATATCGACATAAAAATTAATATTGTAGTAGGTTCAAACATTTCAGAAATAATTTTGAAACTGATTAAATCTTGTCCATTAAAATATGACTAACAACAGATTGGGTAATTCTGACTGGAATATCATTGTTCATATAAAAAATAACAATATCGTATAGCAGCAATCGATTGTATATATCCCAATGAATGGAATCTCATTCGTCTGGGTTTTGGCGTTTTATGCATTCTTCTAATTCCAATACCTGTTGCGCCAACCATTCGGCGCGAAAAATTGAATAACGATATCGCTTATACGGAATTGCCAGTAAAATTGGCACACGTTTTGTAAAAATGTATTAAATGTAATGTTATAATATTGGTGCGTTTAGCAATGCAAAAGCAGATAAATGAAAGGCGTAAGAAAGTAACTCGTCTAAAACAAAACGGCGGGCACTTGCTACTTGCGGAGGGAGGTGAATAGAATGGCAAACCAGGTCATCGGGATTTTCCAGCAATTTCAGCATATGTGTGTTATGATGATGAACATGCATGCTCAACATAAACTTGTATTAAGTGGATAAGATATATATGTGAATTACAAAATATATTCATTGCAATTAGTTGATAAATTACGTCTAAATACACATCATTGTTGAGTATTTCTCCCAACATGCCGGCAGGTCCTCCCCTGCGCGGTAGGGATGCGCAAAAGGCCAATACGTTGTCTGGATTCTTTGTGTCATACCTAACATACCAGCAAGAGAGTTCTTCAACTCTTAAATTTTGTTCGATTTGGTCAAGAGTTGATAAAAGTACCCTCAGAGATCAGGTTGGGTGAGTACAATTCATATGTATCGTTATTTTGCTGTATTTTCACTCCGATCTTGCCGTACAAGCATGGGAATGACTGAAATGTCCGCACGGGTTTCGAATCTCTCAAATATTTGTCATACTTGGAGATGGCACTTCCGGCTTGCCGTCAGTTTACGGGATGGGCAGTACATTCGAATTGTAATCATACAGATATACACGGCAGTTACTTATGTCATTACTATCCAGCGTTTTCGCTGCTTTCTTCAACATGTCTGCAGTGTGACCTACATCGACATATCTGCGATGGCAGACATACTAGCTTCTACAAGCGGGGCAGTCCGGACCAGAAACGGCCTCCTTCAGTGGGGCAGCGGTCGCTTGTCAGCTAGCCGACAATGATCACACGGGAATTATAAGCTCACTAAGATACATTCTGACTGTTATCTTCAAAATGTAATCGTGGCAACGTGATAGTATAAAGTGAAATACTCTAGATGAAGTATTTCTGCAGTCAGCTGAGCGACCACTCAATATACAGGGAGGTGTACGGCAATACCCGCCCGAACAATACAACACAATAACACACCACCTCGCGCGTGCAGGAGCCGTTCACTACCAAAACACATCTGTCAATTAACAATCGGAGTGGATTAGGTATTTACAATCAACTGAATTATAGGTAGCTGGCTTGTCGGTCATCCTTGATAAGGACTGGCAGGTGTGTTTGTACTAAATGATATCCGACAGTGGAAAAAAACTTGTTAAAATTAAATTCGATATGATTATAAAAACATCATCAATGCAGCTGCTTTGTTGTCATGTCTGATGTTGCTGCAGTTTTATTTCACAGTTGCTTACAGCGGCGGATTATTTTTAGCCAATGTGACAATGAGACTTTTCAATTATGAACTCCTCCATATTTTATTTATTACAGTCAAACTATTTAAAGAATTAAACAGTTAAGTTTCAGATTATGATAATAGTGTGAAGTTTGTGGGGTATTTTACCTTATGTCCTAGCCACTGACACAGTTCCAAGTCAAATTCATAAACAGTTGATGTTACAGTTCTTTAAAATTGGTAAACAAACCAATCTTTGTTATTTGTTGCCATGCCATATTGAGAATGTTCTTTTTTATTAATAAATTATTTGCTGTTATCTTGAAAAACCAAACATTTCTAACTTATCGATTTTGACGTGTAGGTAAAGCATATATATTGCGCTATACCAGTATGTCGGATATTTCAGTATCCTGTATAAACCCTATAAAATCCCCAAGTGCTCTGTTTAGGTGTATCTGAAATTAAATTTATTTTCTCTAATTGCCATGATTTTTAGGAAAAGAGAGATGTATTGTTTTTGAGAAAGTAAAAGCAATACTGGTGCAAATAATTATTATTCACATTGTTTGGATATTTATAATTGCATCGTTGTTCTGAATGGTGACTAACCTTGTTTATCAGTCTAATGATGTACGGCTGAGAACATTAAAAACTATCTACATGATGGCATCATTCATGATACTAGTAGTACACTACTTAGAATGACCCTTTATGTGTCATTTATATAGATTATGGGATACACACATGTGGCCATTGTGTTAAACCTGATGAATTTCTGGAGTAGACCTTGTATCTGTTTAAAAGTCTCAAACTATGAAATCGTATATTCATTTTATAATCTGTTTTAATTTACCATTTTAATGCATTCTATGTGCGTACAAATGTTAGTATCCCATTAGGAAATAATGTCTGGACACACTGCATATCATGTATATAGTTTTTGGATATTTGTCGTGTACAAGTGTGTGTGACACTTACACAATACTAAGGAATATACTACTACTACTACAACTACTACTACAGATGTGGAGACAAGGGAGCGAAAATGGCTTAAATAGGCTGTCATTTTCTGATTTATGGGGATTTTCTACCAAGGTGCCACACTATCAGATGCATCAAAGCGAAATTGGCTGAAGTGTATATTTTGATTTGTCCCATGTGTGATGAGATGTGACTCTTCCATCAGCTGGCCCATGGCCTCATTATTGTGTCAAGTAGCATCCAACTGCTTGAAGCATATGCTGTACATGCAATGTGAAGGAAATAAAAAATTATTTTAAAAAAGAGCGACTGACTCACCACTGTCAGAGGATTTGGGAAGCCATGAGCCTTTTCTGTATTTGGAAACTCACTAACCTTAGCGTGATGTAACAACTGCGTGTGAATTTAAAAAACATCTATTGCTACAGTCTTCTTAAATTATAACACTTGTTTTATCTTTACGAAGTGCGAGCAGAGAGCAAAAAAAATGCCAAGGTACTAATTAGAAAACGTCTATTCTGTTGTTATTTCTATATATTTAAATAAAACAGTGTTTTAAAAAATTACCTTAGTCCGATAAAATGATATTATATAATTTTCAGTCATCCAAAAAGAAAATTGTATTGATATAACATAAAAAATATGAGTATTGGCTATGATGTGATGTTCATGTAAACTATTTCATTGTATATTAGATCATTTTGAGAATAAAAAAGTGCATTGAATTGATAAGGAGCCGGAAAAGTATCATTTGTGTACTCTATTCTGCGTTCAAGTGTAGCAAGTCATATACCAGAATTGGCTGTAAAACCATTTTTAATTCTCTTCTCTATAACAGTTCATTGTAAGATATTTTAAATTTCTTATAATTAGGCACATTACTTATCATTGTAACCACCCTGACAAGAGATGAGCAGTATGTATCCGGTGTAGTAAGTGCTTTGATAGGAACTTAAATGATCTGCTTAAGCAAGCTACCAGCTTTCACTTCTCTAAGTAGAGACAGCCCATATCCGACCTGCTTATATATTCACAAATATGAGGTGGAAATTACATCTACAAGCTACTTCCAATTCCCTAAGCTCCTTACTCATTCAGGTAGAAAGAAATTACTTGTGCAATAAAAGCCTGCCTAGGGACCCTCTGCATCTCGGCTGGCCTCTGCTCTTTCCCCGATCTATTAAGACAACGACTGATACTTCGTATTTCATCTGAGACATATACAAATGTACTTGTATTCATTTCCAACATAATCAATTGTGGCTTTGAGAGAAACGTTGACAATATGTTGCGACAGCTCTATTTTTCTCACTACAACTACAATTATTTTGCTCCTGGTGTTCAAGATGAATATAATGTAAGTAAATATTTTTCTAAATTACATAAATGTTGTTAAAGTGATTTTATCACTGTATTTATTTTGATTTAATTGATGTTTATTTAAGTAGAAATGAAGTTGACCGTTGTTTTTGATATTTATCGAGATTCATGAATAAAAGTATGATTATGCCTATTTTTCAAAAACGCACTTAATGATAGGAAGGTGTTTTTGTTTGTTGATTTGTCATTGCATGTAAAAAGTATTTCAATTCTTGTTATTTTGGTTACAGTCGTCTCGTAACATCAGCAGCAGTTAGGTTTAAAAAGACTAATTGATATAAACATGCACTGCCTTTGAAAACAGTTAAAATCACCGCCTGCTGATGAGTCATTGATGTGAAGTATGTGTTTAAAATTAATTCTCAAACCGAAATTCAATAATGTTAAAGGTTATGGTTTGTGCTGGGGAATGTTTTTGCAGGTTAAACGAGGATAAATATGTCTTGATGAATCCACCTTGATGAATCCTTCTTTCAATTACCAAGAACAATAGAATAAGTAATGAAGTCTATTAGAGGGGGCATTATAGTGATCATCAAAGTGTGTTTAATTTTGTCACCTTAAGGCCAGTAGGTATAGGAAGTGTGAGTTGCTCGTACTGTGGCCTGTGGCTGTGCCACCACCACTGTGATTAGGGACAATTATAGCTGCTAGGTAGAAGGGCTTCGTCATAGGATCCTAGCATGCTCATTGCAGTCAACAGGAAGCAAGAATGAAATATTAAAGGAAACCTCGGTCACCTATAGTATCTGAAGGAAGGCTGAGATAGTTGTCTTCCTCAGAACATTTGAATTCTTTGTTCATTCTTGGAATGCTAACAGCCCAGGACTATGGTTTATCTGTGGCCTACGGTAAATCTTTTGTTTATTGATCTGTTTTGTTTATGTTTTGATGATTGAATATGGATCTTTTGTTTGTTGCATGATAAATTAGAGAGGTTTAGTTTAAACATAAGTTATTCAGAAATGACATAATATGGTTGTCAAGGTAGTTATCACAAAAGTTAACTTTCCAAATTTGTGTTTTGTTAAAGCTTTGAGTGTTTGAAATAATGTGGGTTCTTAAATTGGGGTTTATTTCAATCTAGGGACCCCAAAATCTTTAGCTTTTATCATCTGTGATATGGCAAATAGACAAGGACCCGTTGACTTCCATACTTTATTTCTGGCTTATGATATATGAATTCAGTTGTGATGAGATATGAATGAAGTAGTGTTTATGTCAGTGTATTTCCTGGACGCTGACAGTCCGTTGGTTATATTGAGACATGTCTTGATGAAATAGTTGACCTTATCTATGTGGCCGTTGCAGTGTTGGTAAATAAGGACATTGTCAGGTGTTTATAGTTCCATATTGTTCTCAGTATGTTCTAATCCCTCAATTGCAATCTTCTCGGGATATGCTTTCATCTTCCATGTTTTTTAGCAAGCTAATATTTTGTTTTCCATATCTGCAAAGTTATTTCTGTCAGGACATTTTACAAGCTTCGATAAACTATTAAATGATTGCATACACTCTCAGACAACTGGTTAGAAATCATTGTTATCTGAATTTTGCAACTGTTATTCATGTCGTAAACAATGTTAGGTGTTTGGTGGTAGAATTTAAAGATAAAACACTCTTGTTCCTGTCCTCATTGACACAAGAAATAAATGTATCGGGTTCTCTGCATTATTGGTGTGACTTTAGTGTCCTGAGTTTGTGGTTGTGTGGTGTGCATTTTGATGCAGTATTTCCAAGTATTTGGTACTGTAAGTATTATGTATCATGCTGTTATTAACAACTGAGATTCTCAGAGAAACATGTTCATTGGCATGTAAACTGACTGCCTCATCTTTGTAAACTGTTTGATTTGCATTCTAGAAGATGTAGAGTAAATAAGAAAATGTTCAACTTCATGGATAACAAATTCTGTTTTTTTGCACTTAACCACAAATTGTTATCCATAAATAATGTTTTTGTTTTCATCTCATCATTGCTGCCAGTAATGGTCTTCAGCTTGTAAAAGTAAGCAGTTCGGTTAACCCAATGGTTGTGTTAATAGAGGTCATGTATTCCATAAGCTTAGTAAACAAAATATTTATGTAGTTGTACTTATTTTACATCAGCACTAGAGTTTCAGTGGAGGTTTTTACCTGTGACTAATAGGCTTTTGTGTAAAAAATAAATAAGAGGGTCACTGGACGAGCTTGCTAGTTCAATTTTATAGCAAACCTAGGTTTTACTTTGAGTGACAAGAATTTTTGGTTGATTTTCTTGAGTCTCTCTCTCCCCCCCCCCCCCAAAACTGTTGTACATGATATCTCTTTACCAACCAACACTTTGATGAAGTGGCCCGTGAAGATCCGGGGTAGAATAGGTCTTCAGCAACCTATACTTGCGTAAAAGGTGACTATGCTTGTCGAAAGAGGTGACTATGCTTGTCGTAAGAGGCGACTAACGGGATCGGGTGGTCAGGCTCGCTGACTTAGTTGATGCATGTCATTGATCCCAATTGTGTGGATCGATGCTCATGATGTCAATCACTGGATTGTCTGTTCCAGACTCGATTATTTACAGACTGCTGTCATATAGCTGGAATATTGCTGAGTGCGGTGTTCAACAAACAAACAAAACTCAGATGAAGTTAAGCCTAGTTATTGTCATCAGGGCTAGTAGCTGTTCACGGTTAGTAGCCACATGGCCAGTGAACAGTTGTGTTAAGTCCAGTGCTGCATAGCAGTCCTAACCACTTCTACTGAACTGGTGTCTTCAATATAAGAGTGTTGCTAATGGATGTATAGGGATAGGCGAATGGTTGGTGCACTTTGTTGTCAAACACCAGGTCTGAGTTTGGTTCCTCAGCATGAGCTGAGTCAAGCTATGACAGCAGTGAAAAAGCAGACTTAAATACATCACTGTCCTCATGAGAAAATCATAAATGATAGTTGAATGGATCATATATCATTAAAATGTGACTTAAATTTTCATCTAAATTTTATTTTTTCTTGCAGTTTGTTCGAAACAAGATGTCTTCAGCGTGGAGCGCAGACAGTGGCGAAGGGCCCCCTACAGGGGCGTCCGCGAACTCCGACAGCAAAGCCAACAGCTCCAGTGAGGATCTGGCCGATGCTGAAGGTGTATGGAGTCCCGACATTGAACAGAGTTTCCAAGAAGCTTTAGCCATATACCCACCATGTGGCCGTCGGAAAATAATATTATCAGATGAAGGCAAAATGTATGGTAAGAATCACCTATTAATGCATCTTGGAACGACATCTTCACCAAAACAGCAAATATCTAATTAAGAGGTTATTTGCGAGACCAATATATTTTTAATAGGAGTCAAGTGATTGGAAAGGAGCAATCCTTATTGACAAAACTTATGTTAGATTAGTTTCATCATTCAGGGTGCAGTTTAGTGTCAATATGGTATATGTCAGAGCTTGATTTAACTGTTTAAAACATGCACCAGTGCAATCTATTATTGAAAAGTGCAACCTAATATTTATGTCTACATGCACCAAGTGCATGAAAAGCATTTTAAATTGGGGTCTGACCAACCCTTACTTTTCCACACAACATCGATCTATGAACACACTCCATACCTGAACCTTAATGTACCATACTAGATCGCTAATCCCTGTGTTAAGTGTAGTGTGTCATGCTTTTTGGGACTTGACGTCATCAAACTGGGGCTGTTGCAAGGTCATGTGTTGCTGTTATTTTTTTACAGAAATATGTCATTATTTTTTGTAAAATCAGGACAGTCATCAGGCAACTGAGATTTTATTCATTTATACTAGTTAATGCATCTATGTTTCAACTTTGATAAATGTATGGGACCAGAGGGCGACCTGGTTGTGTCTGGTGCATCGAGGTTTTCATGTCAACATGCTCCTAGTGTAAGTTAAATTAAGTTCCTTAAATCGAGCCCTGTATGTTATTATGTATAGGGTATTGATGTGAAAGCGTCTCAGTTCTCCGGGATTTATCCCAACCTGCTCAGAGGCCGATTTTCGGCCTCAAGCCTGCAGCAAATGTCATTAAAAATTCCTAATTTGAAACTTTAAATTTCCCAATTCATGCTACAAAGTATTTATATACATATATAACTAAAATCTGATTTTATGGCTTTGTAGAAGTAACCTGTTTCCACTTATAACAAGGCCTATAAATAGGAACAGGTTTTAATGCTTCGTTTTATGTTATTTCATTAAAACACTGTCTCAAAATTCATCTGAATTTAGGAAATTATGAACTTTAAAAAATCCTAATTTTGAAACAAATAACAATTCTTTTCCCCAATTTGGCTGCTAGGGACACTTAGTTTAATCCTTGACAAATCCCTGAGTTGTGGCATGTTGCACTGTGTTTGAGGGGAGACCCGTACAGACAAAGCTACTCACGCCAACCAACAGGTGACAGTGGCGGTAGCAATCTAGTTTACTAACTCCATTAATTAGATGACTGTTGCCTGGTTAATTAATATAATTAGTCAAGAGGTGATCAATTACCCTGCGGAGCTGGCAGGCCTCAGGGAGTGAGGAATGTAAATTGAGGCTTGATGTGACGCACAGAAGTATGTAGCTCAGTGACCATTGGTCAGCTCGCATCTGGACATGTCATGGATCGAGTTTACAACGTGTTACACAACAAGGACTTATCTCTGTTGATGTGAAAGGTTTATCAGACTCAAATGTCTTTGGTACAGTTTTCATCTATCTCCCATTGACATTCACAGTTTGGTTCTGTCAAAATCTTGGCTGACAAAATTTGGCCCTTATTTTTATTGATATTCTTACAAAATATGCTAAAATATTTTAAAATAACAACTCTCAAATCCCAACTAGTAACTCATTTGGAAAATTGTATCTTCAGAATAAATATGTTTTTCAGCTTTTTCTTTTTAATTAGCAAAAAAAGATTTGCAGTTTGTACTTTTTGCACATACCTGTGTATATTGGTACTTCAATTTGCGCTGAAATGGCTTTGAAATAGTTAATGAATATTTTGTGTAGTTAGTACAGGTGAAATGTACACTTACTGAGTGTGGATTAACATTACATGAAGTTGTATGTAAAGTGTTAATTAAAATTTCATGCGTCCTTTGATTGATATCACCCAAGTGTATAGTCTTTAAGCCTTGTAAAACCATCGGACAACATTAGGTTACAAGTAGCATCAGTTCTTCACTGACTTTCCAAGTTTGAGGTTGATCAATACGGTGTCTTTAAGAAATTGTCACAATCGATTGTGTCCATATGATAATCTACATATGTTTTCTCAGTAGTATTCATCTAAGAATTACAGTATGTGAAAACAAAGAAGAAAATGCTTATATTTCAGTGTATTTGAATAAATTAATCTGTTTAATAACAGAAATGCCTTCCTTACAAACTTAATTATGTAAACATTCTAATCTAACCAAAACATTATTTCAGCCTGCAAAAGTTTGTGTATGATTGAGGAATATTATTATTGGGGCTTATAAATAGAACTGTTTTGGGGGGTACACCCACTCTGTGCCTGGGGGAGAAGCGAAACCTACGCATCTGTACAGGTGCAAATACCATGGAAAGTCGTTAAGTGTGTCAACACAGGCCATTGGAGGTAATGACAAGGTGAGATGCAGAACAGAGTCACTGAGTTCCTAACTAGTCCCCCCCCACCTGCGTACAGGCAATGAAAGGGGGAAGACACTAGTCCCCCCACCTGCGTACAGGCAATGAAGGGGGGGGGGGGGGGGGGAGACACTATATAAATCTTAAACCTGTTGTTCCCATGCACATCTTCCGGGATTAATGATAGCCTGGTAGAGATGTATGGATTTGCTCAAAATCCCCCTGTCCGACCTATCCTGTTTCACAGAACAATGAACAAATATCAGAAATCATCTTTGTGTGCTTTCTGATGACAGTTTTAAATTTATTTTATCATTATGAGAATTCTGATTATGTCAGTATATATTGATTTGGTAAATTAAACATTTAAATATGTGTTTGTATAGTCAGTGCAACAATAGCAAATAGATCACAAGCTATAACATGCTTGAATTGTAGAGTATAATATAATTGATAGATAATTCTCTTTTCCATTCCCTGTTCATTATGACAGAATCTTTTAGCGTACTTTTGTATAGTCAATGCAACAAAAGTAAATAGATCTTAGACTATAACGTTTTGCAGTGCAGATGAGAATAATATTGAAAATTCCCCTTTCCAATCCCTGTGCATCATATATGACATTTTATGAAGAGCTTTTTATAATAGTGTTAGCTATGATAGTTGAAGCATCCCTCTAGGCTCTTACTTTCCTAAATGAGGTATATTTTAATTCTATTTTATGTGATCTTACTGTTCAAATAGAACTATTTGTGGGTTAATGTACATTAATTTTTATGTTAAGCTCTTCTATATACATGTACCAGGTGATGTGATGCACATTGTACTATATGGTAAGGCGTATCAAGGCTGATACTGCCAAGGGAAACACTGTTTGTCCTTTTAAAATGAAAGTATGGACCTTTGAGATACTCTAGCTACATGCTTTCTATAATTCAAATAATTCTGAAAATATGTAAATGTCATCTTGATAAGTATTTTTTTTAAATATGTTCTGAAATATTCTGTGAGAATTTTTTTAAAAGAAAAGAAATGCAATTAAAATCTCCCAAACTAGTTGACCATGGGGACTGGCGTGACCATTAGACTTCAGGACAACAACAGTCCCGTAAACATTGATAAGAGTTACCTCAAAGCTTATCAGTAATATATAGCCTTTCCTTGACCGGATAATCGTGTAGGAAATGTATATAGATATATCGCAGATTTATCTAGACCCGCTCAGGGGCTGATATTCAACCCCACCTTCTGCAGCAAATGTCAGTAAAAATTCCCAAATTCCAATTAAAAACTTTCCAGTTGATGTCGTAGTTATCACTAATGCAGTGGCTTTGAAGAACTGACTGGCTTCTGCGATGACGAGGAAGAGGATTTGATGCTTAATTTTACATTATTGTATCAAGAATAATGTTAAAATACCTCTGAATTTAAGTAAATCAAATCTTTAACATGTTTAAAAATTCAATTGTATACAAAAAACATTTTTCCGAATCTACAGCCATGGGCACTTAGTTTGGAATCCTAGATTATCCCCTATATTTTGCTACAGCATATAATAATACGACTGAGGCAAGATTAAAGTGAACTATATGTTAGGCTTGTGAATGATGTGTTGTGGTAATATTTCTCAGCCGTCTCTACAGGGACTTATTGTTGACAAAATACTAGATATTTTAATGAAAGTTTATGAAACATCTTTAGAGGGAAATCATTACACCAATATTATTTATTCCCATCGTCTGTATTGCTATTGAGAGACATGTGTAGGTTAATGATTACTTTGGACCTTATGAAGATGGTTAATCACATTCAACGACAACGATGTATTCTGTTGAATCTGAGCGCATCAGTTGAACAAACATTAATGTTCCAGTTTATCCATGACATCATTTGGGCGTAATTGTGTTCCTAAGTTGGTTCAGTGACAATTTGTGACAACTTTTGTATTCTGTAGAATCCAATAAATGGATAAACATTGATAGAGTCAAGAAAAGGGATGCCCGGTTAGGATCCGACTTTGTAACAAGCCGTGTATTGTGCTTCTACTGTCCCTCTCCTTGTTCCTTGGGAACAAGATGGCTGTGTACTCAATAGTTACTCTATCAATTGCTGTAAGCCCAGCCTAAGACGTTTTGTATTTGGCGGGATCTGTGGAGATTGTTGAAGAATCACCATGGCCCCAGGAATGGATTATGCCAGTGTGGACTCTCCACTTTTTCCTGTGTGTTTGTCACCAGTGGCTGTGCTTGCTACTCCCTGTTTGGTCACTCGGGCCTATTTGCCTCATTGCCGACATGTGTTTGAGAACGGATTAGCTGGACTGAACATGTCTTAGAAGGGCCGTGTTAGGCAAAAAAGGTTGTTGACAAAGATAGCAGATCAATATTTTAACTCTATATTGGTGTCTTCCATACCTGACTCCATTCATTGCCTGTGTGGGACTGGTGATGTTGAATAGAGTATCTGCTACGTTTGAATATTGACCAATCACCTTCGTCATCACTCCTCAACAGAGATTGCAATTGTGATTAATTATTGGGATGTGACTTGAAGCTATTGATGTTACTTTGTGAGCTAAAGTTAGGAGAGTTTTAATGTTAACTTTGTGAGTGATCACCACTTGCTATTGTGTACCAGGAACTTCCCTCAACTTGTTTCATGTTGATTACCGTATTTTCATGGGTAAAGTGCACACCTTGTAACCCAAATATACAGCTGTGTAGAAGGGGTGTGCACAGTGAGGTTTGATTGGTACTTTTTCCAGCACAATTACGGGAGAAAACATTTGTACAGCTGATTGCTATTTTCAGCTTACCGTATTCGAAGCAATAAGTGCCCCGCTCTAATAAGCGCCCACGGCGATATTTGCGAATATATTGGCTAATGAACAATCCCAATTAGCACCCCTTCTGATTGATCAATGTACTTAAAGACTTATTTATGCACCCTTAATTATAGGCAATTAAATTCTGGAAAAATACATCGGTGGAATATAAACATTTCAGGCTGTCAGCGTAAACCACAGAATTTATCTTTCAACTTAAAATTCTCTTTTCAACTCTTTTTTTCATCAAAATAATATTCTAATAAGAGCACCTTATTTCTAATTTTGAGAGCGCACTGGGCGCTTATTACGTCGAATACAGTATTTTAAGAGAAAACTACACATGTTAATCTAAATCTCTGCGTATAAAACAATGCCTACATAAAAGGAAATAGAATTGAAATTATAGATCATTGTCCAGTGATTTACGGAAATTTCACATTTTTATCAACAAAGTTTGTGTCCTGTTTGTTAACATAAGCGATATGATATAGCTTTTGACTGCGCATATGATGACATTTTTGACTGCTCATATGATTTAGCTGTTGAAATAGCAATTTTTCCCAAAACTTGTTTCAAGGATTGGCATTATGCCCAAGTACTCACAATATACACAAAATTATCACAAGTTGTGTTGACAGTTACTGCAGTCTCATTAAAGGAAGGAAAAGTCAACTTTTTAACCTGCTTTATTAATTTGAATTACAAATAAAATCTGAATAAAATTTGATAGGTAACAAACCAGACCCATAGACATCGAGACACAAGTGGAACAGTGGTGCGAGACTCGGCCTTTTGCTGTGTGTCTCTAACAAGATTCACCAAGATTATGATCTTGAACAATAATTCTGATAGTTCACCTTGTGTTAATTGTCCACAGCTAGTGTCACATAGGGGGCAAAATAACTTGATTTGAATAATATTTTTACTTTTGGTTAGTGGTCAGATTATCAACCTGAGCCATGAAATATAAGATCATTATTCTTATGGTATCTGTAAAAGTTGTGTTAAGAAAGCTAATACATGTACTTCATCACTGACATATAAAAGTATCTATTCCCCAGTTTTCCCCATATTTTTAGCAAGATTCACCAAGATTAGGCTCATGTACAATAATTCTGATGGTTCACTTGTGTTAATTGTCTGTCCACAGCTTGTGTCACAATTGGCTTGCCTTCCACAGTTGACACACTGTGATATAACGGAAATATTGTTCAAAGCAGCATTAAACTCTGCTCACTCATTCGCTCAATTAAATTTTGGATTCCTCTATGTGTTTGATGTTTGGCTAGAGACACTGTACTTTTCTTGATATTTTAAATGTTGTTTGGCATTTACTTTCATAGTTGTGTCTGTTGATTTAATAAAATAATCAATCCGATAGGGTGGTGGGTGTTTGAGGCAAAATAAATTGATTTGAATAATCTTACTTTTGGGTAGTGGTCAGATGAACCTGAGCCATAAAATAAAAAATCATTTTGCTTACGGCATCTGCAGATGTTTTGTTAAGAAAGCTCAGTACCTCGTCACGGACAGATAAAAGTAGCTATTCCCCTTTGGTGTATATTATGGCCCAGACATGAGACAGGTGTGACTACAGTTGGACAGTGGTAATAGGATGTTACCTGCAGTCCTGATTATTATCATAGAGAAAGTCTAAATTTGACAACATTGTCACAAATATGAAGGTGTATGTTCAGTGATGTAAGTTTCTTCACAGCTGAATATATTTTGTTATTCGTCTGTACAGGATGTTAATAGATGTTGAGTGAGCAAGTACTCGTCATGCAAGGTCGCTCAGCTGTGTAGGGCATTATGATGCTTGGAGGACGACAACAAAACACTGCTAGCGTTCCCACACATACTGTTTGATAAATCAAGATCTGTCTACACCTTCCGACTTTTTAATACAAATAGGCAGCCAAAGAACATGTTACATCATAATTATTTGGTCAAGTGATTTGAAAATGCGTCTGTTTGAATGGTAAGTTGATTCAGTATTGTGAGGGGTTCACTTTTGAAGTCTTGGCTATACAAGTCCTGCATTTTGATGATGAGAGAGTTGAATTATTGAATATTGACTCTCTAGGTAATACCCACGGGAACCTCGGCTAATGTCAACCCGGAGACTTGTGTTGCTACCTGTCTACAGTCCTACACTAACTCGTTATCTTGGCTTCAGTCATTCCCTGGCTAGGTAAACAGGATCTGTGAAGGTAGTGGCTGCTTCTAGCTTACAACAACCTTACGCTGTCACAAAAAACTAGAAAGTAGAATGAGTCACTGTGCTGATGAGTAATGGGGCCAAATTAGGCAACCACGCCAGGAGGGTAGAAATAAGCCCAACAGCTATAGTCTGTTTCTGGAGGCTTGGGCCCCTTGCGTGGCTAGGGAATAATAAGCTTATGTTTCTACAGAGAGGAGGGAAATATAATCCGTATCCCTTCATATTAAAACTAACAGGTGGAAAGTGGCAGGTGTATGATTTTGACAAGACAGTTGGAAAAGAAATAAAAGATATTTGCCTGCCGTGAAATGTACACACCATATGTTTTTAGCATATCTATTTCATGTTCCCATGAATAATTGACTCGGGAGATCAGGAATTGATTTATGAAACATGATGCAGAGCATGTTGGGTAAAAAGTCAGATTGAAAGACATTAGTATAAGACCATTAACAAGCTCTGCAGACCAGCACATGCTGACAGATCTTGAGGGGGGATAAAAATATGTTTATAAAAATACAAAATCATAAACTGTATAACAATTATCATTTTCAGTGAGGGTAATTTTAAAGTGGATGTCATTAGGGATCATTTTTGTAAATCGGCATATAGCTGGAATATTATTGAATGTTGTGTTAAACAACAAATTAGGATGATTTTTATCAAAGGGCATAATCTTCTGATATACTTTCAATAAATATCCACAGCTCAAGATGGTTTTGATCATAAATAGCAAAATAATAAAAGTAATAATCATAATAATCATAATAATATTATTTTAAATGTCATTGTGAATGTATTATCAATAGGACAGGATTGATCACTTGTTTCAAGTACTTAAAATCACAATAAAAGAATAATTGAAGTTGAAATTTTGTAAGTCAAGCCACTCTTCAATCATAATAATAAAATAATTTCAGTGATGATAACGTCAAGAAGGATCAGAAGGCTCTTGATTGGGTAAAGGTTATTCAGAAGTCAGACACTGGAAGACGGACAAAGAGCTACCAATTTTTCACCTCTGTTTAACTCCACTGATTATGCACCAGATTCTACTTAGAGAGACCAACCTGGGGAAGTGTTTGATTCATAGATAACAGATTAATTATTGATTAATTTTACAATTTTATCCTACCTAACCTTGTTTTATTAAAAAAGAAGCGCTATTCTGGTTCAAGTTCACCTTATGTTTTGGTAAGCGTTTAGCGTGGAACGTTGTCTGTGGAGAAGTTTCAGAACATTTTAGACACCTTCTGAAACCAAACTGTGATGCTGTAGTTTGCCATGCATAATCACGGTCGGTGTTAGGGGTGTCATTGAAACTATAGTATCAATATATCCACTTAAAAGTATCAGGATATATTGTTATATCAATTATATTAAACATTAATTATTCTGTACATGTGTAGATAAAAACTATGTGTAGACCTGCAATTTTTTCAGTTTCATGAAAATAACCTAGGCTGATTCATAAAATGTTTAAAATTTAATTTTCTGCCTATTGATTGTACTTCTTAACCATTTTAATCTTAATGTAAATGTTCTGTGTTATCAATAATTTAGTATTGATATTCATAATTTCAGTACAGCATCATTTACGGATACATTGATATCTCAATATTCGATGACATCCTTACAGTGATAATTAGGCATATATGAGGCGGGGGTTGTTAATGTATCACTGCCTGAGCTATTTCATGTATTGTTATACAATCATTATGCTGCATATCATGTTTTAAAATTTTGAGTTTCATAATTTATTCTAACCAAAAATGTTGAAAATTTTAAAAAATTAAAGTGAGCCACAGAGCCTGACGTTCTTTCCATCCAAATGCTTTGCTGCATTATCTGTAAGTTCCATAGCAATACCTTTGATATATTTATTCAAATATTATTCAATATGTATCAATTTTTCAGGTCGAAATGAACTAATTGCCCGCTACATCAAACTCCGTACAGGGAAGACACGCACCAGGAAGCAAGTGTCCAGTCACATTCAGGTCCTGGCCAGAAGGAAAGCCAAAGAAATACAGGCACAACTCAAAGTAATTACGGAGGTAACATTTTATAGACCAGGGCAAAACAGGTTGTCAGAATGTAGTTTCGTGGTTGCTTTGTCTATTCTTATGTTTATTTATTTTTAAGCCTATTTCTCCCTATTTGTCGTAATGGTCCCTCAAATGGCTAATTTATGGTTTTATTGGCCTAATGTGTAAGACAATTCTGCACTAGGAGTGAAGTGTGGGTTATGTTTCGCTTAAACACCATGAAAACAATTTAGGGGCAATGACATTGGCTCGAGTTTCTCTACATGTTTATTTTAGCGGCAAATGACCTGTACTCAGTCAAGATGTATTTGTCTATAAGATTTGTAAAGCAGGCAGGCTGAAACTGTAGGCTTAGCTTATGACCTCTGACCTTTCCAGGAACAGATATGGCTCCCACTTATCCTGTCTCCGGATCAGGGTGTTCAATATTGATGGCGATCATCGTTTTACTGCTGTAAATTATGAAGGAGATATTGCCTTGCCAAACCTGATAGCACAGGAACTGCTTGAAATATTAGTTGTCTACAATCAATACAGGAGACACAAAGCATAATACGGGAAATTAAAAAAATCATATTACCGTGACAAATTACAGCTTTTTTATATACACCCACGAATTGTGTGTCAGTTTTTTCGTAATGGACATCGTAGACCAATAATGAAACCACAGCGGTGGAATTGCTCAAGTAACACTTGTAGTGTATGACGGTGACACACAGTCAAGGAAATAAATCGGAGGTCACATGCAGGTGGAGAGGAGGTCAACTAGTGCATGTCATAGATTTCATGCAGCAAGGGCCTCTAATTTTCTTTGTACTGTTTTTTTGGTGTAAATGGGTTTGTAAATGTAAGCAAACGATGGAGGAGGGCGAGGAGGTGAGATTGAGTCTTGTCTTGTGACCTTTTGCTGCAATGAGACACTTTGAGGATATGGACTGTTATACACCGCTTGGGTTGGTGATCTTGGAGCTGTATGCTATAGGGGCAATAAGTTATACAAAGTGACCTTTTACTTAAGGTTATGATCAATATGGGCCATGTTTAGAAACAGCAATATGCATTACATTACGAGGAGTGTATTACATGCTGGTAAAACAGTATACCAGACCGACATTGAGATCTGTCCGTGAACCATGTACCACATAGCTGGGTAATATGTGTGAGGATATTGAGATATTTATGTTGAAATTTCCAGCGGATGATATTTTGTTTGGTAGATTGAGATCTTCAAGATTAATTGAGTTTTAAGATTATGAAAAAATGTGTTCCTTGTTTTCTTGTCCACATCCCACAAAAGGATCTAAAAAAATTGAAGTCTTAGACATTTTTAAATTTGAACATGTTGAATGAAGAAGTCTTTCCAAACAATAAAAAGAATGTATTCTTTTTTAGGAATATATGGATCTCCTGAAATGGCAAAATGTTTAATGTATTTTTGTTTTGAACATTTTCTCCTTGCATGCAAAAATTATGATCACCTTTTGTGCTTCATGTCATAAAGACGATGAACGTGTCTGATATTTTTGTCCATAAATAACCCACATATGTATTTGTGCTTTGACCTGTATAGTGTTCAACAGCCAGTGAATCAATACTCGGTCTTATTTAGTGTGGATTCATTAATAGATAACTGCAGTCATTGTCTGTGAGAATTTGTGAGGACTGTTTTATATACTGTATTCCTTCTAGCGAGTCAGTATTTCAACCTTTTGTTCAAGGCCTTCTAGAAATAATGACACTGAAAGGCCAGACAGCTTGTATTTTGTGTAATTTATAAGATTCTGCTCGTTTCTTGCTGAATGTTACAGTATCCTTGAGAAGTAGTGTTTTACACTGGCTGTGCAAGGCTACGTGTTAATGATAACACCTGGAGTGGCTCTACTTCTATGTCTGAACTGGCTCTACTTCTATGTCTGAACTAACTTTACTTTTCCATCTGAACTGGCTCTACTGCTATATCTGAACAAGCTCGACTTCTATATCTGAACTGTCTCTACTGCTTTGTCTGTACTGGCTCCGCACCTATGTCTGAACTGGCTCTGCTGCTATATCTGAATTAACTCTGCTTTTGCATCTGAACTGGCTCTACTGCTATATCTGAATTAACTCTGCTTTTGCATCTGAACTGGCTCTACTGCTATATCTGAACAAGATCCACGTCTATATCTGAACTGGCTCTACTGCTATATCTGAACTAACTCTACTTTTGCATCTGAACTGGCTCTACTGCTATATCTGAACAAGATCCACGTCTATATCTGAACTGGCTCTACTGCTATATCTGAACTAACTCTACTTTTGCATCTGAACTGGCTCTACTGCTATATCTGAACAAGATCCACGTCTATATCTGAACTGGCTCTACTTCTATGTCTCAACTGGCTCTACTACTATGTCTCAACTGCCTCCACACCTATGTCTGAACTGGCTCTACTATGTCTGAACCTGGCTCTTCTGCTATGTCTGAACTGTCTCTACTGCTTTGTCTGTACTGGCTCCGCACCTATGTCTGAACTGGCTCTGCTGCTATATCTGAATTAACTCTGCTTTTGCATCTGAACTGGCTCTACTGCTTTATCTGAACAAGATCCACGTCTATATCTGAACTGGCTCTACTGCTATATCTGAACTAACTCTACTTTTGCATCTGAACTGGCTCTACTGCTATGTCTGAACAAGATCCACGTCTATATCTGAACTGGCTCTACTTCTATGTCTCAACTGGCTCTACTACTATGTCTGAACTGCCTCCACACCTATGTCTGAACGGCTCTACTATGTCTGAACCTGGCTCTTCTGCTATGTCTGAACTGGCTCTACTATGTCTGAACCTGGCTCTTCTGCTATGTCTGAACTGGCTCTACTTCTGTATCTGAACTGAGCCTCATTTCTTTTGTTCTTACAAATAGACCTCATCATTCTGTCAACTCTGGTGTCAAAGTCAAATTTCTTGAATGCCTTGAAATAAATTATGACAGCCTCAGCAATTCTATCAGCATGCATACAATGGCAAGAACATCTATTTTCCATTTTTCCATATTCAAACTCCCGTTCATTGTTCAACCATCCTTAATTTTGCCCAGTTCTTTTAACAGACCATGTTGTGTTTTGACTGAAAATTAAAAACCGTGGCATGTACCTGTAAGGACTCCGAAGTCCCTGAAACAGTCAGTGGAACAAGTAATAATATCTATGGTAAAACTGGTGTGAAATAGTTAGCCTGAATCGCTACTTGTGAGAGAAAATTGAAACTGCTGTTGAGTTGTGAAAATTGCAAACAGCTGATTCTCAGGCAATGAAAACTTGGTGTGGACAGATAGGCAATGCAGTTTTTTATGTCCACACTCCCCACCTCCAGGATAGTAGTGCGGGGGATATAAAATTGGTATCTCCTGCATAGTTATCATTTCTAAAGGCAAACTCAAAATATTTGTATACATATCAACAAAGTGGAAAGGTGGTACGTTTTACAGAGTGATTCATTAAATGAAAACAAGCTGTACTATTTATTTATCTTATTTGCAAAAGCTTTTACGGAGGCAATGGTTATGGTATCTATTTATTACTAATTATATTTGGATGGGGGCGGTTGGTTAGCCTAGTGGTTCGAGTGTTGGCTCATCACACTGAAGACCGGTTCGATTCCCCACATGGGTACAAAGCCCATTTTTGGTGTCTCCTGTCGTGATATTGCTGGAGTATTGCTAAAAGTGGAGTAAAGCAATACTGATTGTATGATTGCCAGACACGTGGGGATTCCGTTTTAGATGTGGTCCCTAGCAGCCTATGCTGGTCATAAGTGGTGACGGGGCGGTCGGGTAGCCTTGTGGTTAAAGTGTTTGCTTGTCACACCAAAGACCTGGGTTCAGTTACCTGTATGGGAATCAAACAGACATCTTATGGCTTGGAGACTTAACTTCTTATATGAAGTACTTCTCATTTATTATCATTTGAATACAAAATGTTATCATATTTAGAGAACCGGTACTTTTAATGATTCAACAAATTGCTGTTAGTGACGTAGTTGTGTGTTGTTACCACCTGAAACTGATGTAGCTGTTTGTTGTTACAGCCGCAGGACCAGGCATCCCGAGACAAGGCTCTCCAGCAGATGGCGTCGATGTCATCGGCACAGATTGTGTCAGCTAGCGCAATCCACAACAAGGCCCTGGCCTCTGGTCTCAGCTGTCTCCCAGGCATGGCCCCCGTCAGACCAGCCTACCCAGGGGCGCCATCGGTAAGGACAGCACAATGCCATGGCTCTTTCCACAAATACAAGTTAATATAGACACAGGAATATCTTTACGTGACATTGTAGAAGCTGTCGTAACTGTGAGAGCAGAGTTGACGTGTGGAATTCCACTTCTTCTATTCTTCCAGTGGACCAATGCTTGTAAGAGGCAACTAACAGGATCGGGTGGTCAGGCTCTCTGACTTGGTTCATGCATGTTCATCATTTCCCAATTACGTAGATCAAAGCTCATGATGTCAATCACTGGATTGTCTGGTACAGACTCGTTTATTTACAAACTGCCTTTATATAGCTGGAATATTTTGCTGAGTGTGGCGCTAAACAACAAGAAACAAATTCTTTCAGTGCAACATTTCGGTACTGATACTAGTACCTTCATCAAAGCTATAGAAACAATAAAAAAAAGTTCAAATCCACAATCAACTCTGTCCTCAGCTCTTTGAATGTATTTTTTGCAGAGTTCATTTGGCAAATTGGCATTTGCTTTCTTTAAACATACATTATGATAATCAGTTTTCCCATGTCTACACACAGATAATTGTAAGTTGATACGTCGTGTTCTGTTGACAGTACTCCAATATCGTCTATAACGCTTATCAATTAGCGTTGTAGCGAGGGATCACTGTAACTAGATTGACTTAGATGTGATGATTGTGAGTAAACATTTCCTCTTCTGTTGACAGTTCTGGCAGCCTGGCATCACACCTCAAGGAGAGTAAGTACACTGCTCAAATTATATATGTATACTACTCAAAAGAAGTTAAGCAACACCCGATTCTTTCATTTCACTATTAATATGGCATGGCATGGCATAAGTGAGGTGTTCCTTAACTTCTTTCAAGTAGTTTCTATAATCATGTCTTGGTTGAGATTATTTCTTAGTCTTACACCATATTGTACTTTTGGCAACCTATTTTAAAGTCATCCCTTATATGGCCTGAAGCATATTGAAGAAAAAGGATGAAAAGACCAGAAATGTTAAATTCAATTTTCTGAATTTTTGGAGAAATGTTAAAAATTTAGAATGGATATGGTTCTACAATTTGGTTGTTAGTATGTATACAATTCATGGGTTGATGATTGATACTTTGTCTTGCAGTGTAAAACCGTTTAGTTCCTCGGGCTACGGAATCGACTCCAAGCTCCAGTCCTCGATACCCGGTGACGTGTCTCCAGCGTGGCAAGGGAGGTCAATAGCAGGGCCCAAGCTCCGATTGGTGGAGTTCTCTGCCTTCCTAGAACAACAGCGAGATCCTGATTCAGTACGTACTTCGCACAATAAAGTCTTCAGTAATCCAGGCATAATAGACCAGTGTCAGCCACTGGATTGTCTGGTCCAGACTCGATTATTTTGACCACCGCCAAATGGCTGGAATATTGCTGAGTGCCGTGTTAAACAACAAATAAACAAACAAAAGTAGTCTTTGATTTTTCTTCTCCAGCCCTGATTGCAATTAGCAGGCTACCCCGAAACTTCCAACCTCAAAGTGAAATCTGTATTTTCATTCGTTCCTTGTCTCACTCTCAGTATTGGACAGTGCTGGTGATTGTCAAGTTATTTGCTACTCAAAGAGAGACCAATCTTCAGTAATTTATGGATACGGTATCAAGCCTACAAGAGGTGTATACAGATATGTTTGTTTGTCCACAGTACCACAAGCACCTGTTCGTCCACATCGGGTCAAATGCTGGCTACAACGATCCACTCCTGGAGGTGAGTCATATCCTGATCTTGATTGTCTGTAAGCACTCTATATAGGGACCTTCTCATGAGAGACTGCCTCTGTGGTCCAGTGGTGAGCATCCGCACGGAAGGTCCGGGTTTCGATCCCCAGCAGCGTCATACCAAAAGATGTTTAAAGATGGTACTTGTTGTTACCCTGTCTGGCAGGGCTAAACCAATGACTGGTCGGCTCAGAGTCAGTATCCTGTGTCTGAGTGGGGTGTTCATGTTAAACTGCTAAACCCTATTTCTCCTCACCTCAATAATAGGGGCGGTCAGGTAGCCTAGTGGTTAAAGCGTTCGCTCGTCACGCCACAGACCCGGGTTCGATTCCCGACATGGGTACAATGTGTGAAGCCCATTTCTGGTGCCCCCTGCCGTGATATTGCTGGAATATTGCTAAAAGCGGCATAAAACCATACTCACTCACTCACCCAATAATAACCAAGAGGAAGTAACAGTTATCACTGGAACTTTTTTGTAGCGCTTGAACCTTTTGTTGTGAAGAGTACAAGGCCTAGTTGATATGAAGCAGTATATCAGTGCTTATATTTGGCCTTTGTTTGTTTGAAATGTTGTTGACTTGAACTGTTGCTGCTCCAGGCTGTCGACATCCGCCAGATCTACGACAAGTTCCCTGAGAAGAAGGGCGGCCTCAAAGAGCTGTATGATAAGGGCCCCCAACAATCCTTCTTCCTCGTTAAATTCTGGGTCAGTATATCTGCCTGTGATGGTCTCCAAATAATACAAGTCCTACTTAGGATTCTACTGATTGCATGTCTTCCTACTATTTACAGACTTCTGTGGATTAGCTGAAATATTGATGACTTTGATGGTGTACCAGCATTGACTTGCTCTAACTAATTGATCATGGCCCCCCTCTGTGGTGTAGTGGATAGGGCTTCTCCCTGGAGAGTGGAATGTCATTTTCGATCCCTGTCCTTATCATAACAGATGTTAAAAGATGGTACTTCTTGTTACCCTCCCCGGAGTTTGGCATTAAGGGGATATAACAAGTCTGTATACTGTTGGAACCAGTACAAACAGATGCACAAACGCACACCTGCATACACATCTCTATATAAGTGCAATAATTTGAACGCAGTGTTAAACACCATTTCACCTCACTTGATAGATATTAAGTTTATTTGTTACAAAAGTTGTGAGTGTCAGATTCTCCTAGTTGCCATGACGTGACATGTGTTTTCTGTCTGCAGGCTGATATCAACACCAATGTGCAGGATGAGGCCGGGGCTTTCTATGGAGTGACAAGCCAGTAAGTTGTTTATCAATATTCATCATTATCCCCCGCACTGGGGGAAATGGGTGCTGACTGTCCGTCCTTCAAGCTTCGTTTCCGGAGCAGAACTCAAAAACCTTGACAGATATCTTAACCAAACTTGGCACATAGATAGGTCTAATGGTAAACTGGTGCCTTTTGATAGTTAGGGAATTTTTTTTATTATTATTTTATTTTTTTTCAAATTTCGAGTTTCCATGGCAACAACTTTGACCTTAAACTAAAAATAGTGATATTGGCAAGGGATGTGAGTATTTCATGCTTCTTCTTGAAAAAGATACTCTGTACATTAACATATCGATAATAGCTCGTTGATTAAAGGTTAGGTTGGAACGAGATGGTTGCCTGTTTGCTTAGGTTCAAGAAGTACTTGTTAAGACGGTCACATATCTATGCTTTCAGTCAAAGCATGTTTTAAGATAATATGACGATATTTTTTATATTGATATATTGGCTTGTGAGTTAATGGTACTGTTGCTAGTTATGTTTGTGTAACATGAGTGGTGTTGTTCCAGGTACGAGAGCACCGAGAACATGACGATACAGGTGTCCACCAAAGTGTGTTCTTTCGGGAAGCAGGTCGTGGAAAAAGTGGAGGTGAGTGTCATCCAAGTGAAATCTGGTGCTGCGTTAGAAGCACTAGTCCTGTTGTTCTTGCCCAACTGCCCAATAGCTAAGGTATCATAGTGACTTGTGACCAGTGAATATTCCAGGGTAGAATAGGTCTTCAGCAACCCATTCTTGCCGTAAAAGGCGATTACACTTGGTTGATACATGTCATTGATCCCAATTGCATAGATCGATGCTCATGATGTCAATCACTGGACTGTCTGGTCCAGACCTGATTATTTACAGACCGCCGTCATATAGCTGGAATATGTGCGGCGTTAAACAACAGACCAAAAAAAAACACAAAAAACACTGACTTGTAGAAATTTGCCATTTTTAAGGGTTTTGCTATATATTATCATGATAAGGACTAGTAGACTAAAAATGTTAGTTTCTACCGCTGTGGTGTTTTGTCTTCAAGATGGTAGCAGGTATAATTTTAACTAAATTGTTCTTCAGTGTTTGTTCAACTTAGGTAATTGTTGTCTCCATGGCACTTGACAATGTGTGCTTTGTTTCTTTGTCTATTTTGTTTGTGTTTTATTCCATCAGTTATCATAGAAAATATGATGGTCACGGAAACCATAAAACTGTTTGAATTGTCCGTTTTTGTCCGAATTTCGAGACACGAAAGGGGCGGTGAGATGGCCTTGTGGTTAGTGTGTTCACTTGTGACGCCAAAGGCACAGGTTCGATTTCCTGTAAGGGAACGAAGCTTATCCTGGTGTCCCCTGCTGTGATATTGCTGGAATAATGCTTAATGCGACATAAGAGCATACTCACTCACTCGATCACAGAGACAGCCCTAGTATTGTAGCTGAGTACCTACACTGATTCAGCCATGACAGTACGCCATCTACAACAATACTTCCATTAAGCAATGTTTCTACTTACAGTTTAATGCTGCTCCATGGTATGAATGTCGAAATCTTTGTAATGTGGCGTTATTTTCAGACGGAGTATCCTCGGTTTGAGAATGGGCGATTCGTGTATAGAATCCATCGTTCCCCGATGTGCGAATACATGATCAACTTTATTCACAAACTGAAGCACCTGCCGGAGAAGTACATGATGAACAGTGTTCTGGAAAACTTCACTATTCTACAGGTTGGTAGATGTCTCCTTGTACAGGAAACTGTTTATTACGAACTTTTTAAAAATTAAAAGAATTGGTTCTCAGGCAGTGACTTTTGAAAATATAGTGCATGTGTGCGGTGTATTTTGCTTTTTTTATTTTTTGGCTTGTTCAAACTAGTATGTAACCAAATGAACAGTTGTGTACCATCAACCTGGGAAAGGGCCTTTCTACATAAACAAGCATACAAACTCCTATTGCCGCCATGACCATAACACTAGATGCGCAGTAAAGCAGTGTGCATGTAAAGGGAAGTAAGTACGTGCTATATTGGATCGCTTTTTTTTTTTTTTAAGTACTGGGATTTTTTAATTTTTGGGGGAAATGGTTATAAGAACAAAACATGCGGCGGACATTATGATGATGCAGGCGGTGCCTGAGAACCAAGACTAATATTTTTTGTAGCCTCATGAACTGACGGATATAACAAACTTTTTTTTGTGTCTTGGCCATTTGCTGTATATTATATCATATGCAACACTTGAAATGCTTACGACGAACTATCGTTATTACGAACTAAAAATAGTGGTCCCTTGAAGTTCGTTATTCTGTAGTTTACTGTACTGTGAAATAAGTGCAGCCCTCTAAGTTTGTTTTTTATGTTGGGGAGCCAAGCGGCTCAAAACATGAATATTTTAGTCAAATCTAAGGTATTAGGAGCCAACAGATATTGTCACCAGTTATGTTAATTTTAGGTAGCCAAGTGGCGAGCAGTTCATAAATTTAGGTCGGCAATCATTGATTTATGTCGCATTTGGCCACCAAAATGGCCGCTACTTCGAGGGCTGAGGTGGACCAGTAGATAGTGCTCTTGTTGATCCATGTCTGTGTTCAAGTCTCTGTCTTGCTGTGAATATCTGCACTAACTGGTATCCACTGGTGTTGGTTATTATCCCCCGCCACGAATGGGTGCTGTCAAGTCACGTTTCATTTACAGAGCAGAACTCAAAAAGATATCTTAACCAAACTTAGCACAAAGATAGGTCTAGTGGTTAACTGGTGCCTTTTGATAGTTTGGGATTATTTTTTTTAATTGATTTTTTTTTTCAAGTTCCCCCCAATGACTTTGACTTAGATTGAAAATGGTGTTAGTGCTCCGCACAACCAGGCATGTCATATTTGCGGGGAATGTGAGTGTTTAATGCCTGTTAATGTTAACATAGAAAATATCAGACATCCAGAAGATCGCCTTGGAGCTAATGTCTCGAGGTGAATGCATGATTGTTTTCTAGTCCTGAATGATATTCTCAGCCATGCCATACTAACTTCATTAAAATAGAATGTGAAAAATATATTTGGATTAACAAATTTGTGTTTTTCTTTACAGGTGGTTACCAATCGTGACACACAGGAGTGTCTTCTGTGTATTGCCAACGTGTTCGAGGTGTCGACAAGTGAACATGGAGCCCAACATCACATCTACAAGCTTGTCAAAGACTAGCCAGCATTCGTGGGGAAACAGACTCGATACAAACATTATATATTGTCCCCTCATTCACCATTGAAGCAATAAGAGCTGTGTTTGTGAAGGAAGTACGCCGGGTCATCGGAAACACCGCATCAAACACTCTGGTGAAGCTCGGAACACATCATGTGCCTTTATCATGCAAGACCTTATCCTCTTGGTGCATAGATCTGCTGGATTCGTCTGGCTGTGTGATACGGGATTATATTCAATGAGCAAGAACATGTACCAATCAGGACAGAGCTTATGCCACAGCTTGTCCGTGATTGGTCGATCTCGTCTAGAGAGTCTTCTTAGACGCAATAGTGCTTATGGTTGCCAAATGATTAGTACAGACTGCAGTAGTTGCAAAACACTTTTGTGGTAGATTCTTTCTTGTAGGAGAAGAAGTTGGAACCGATTTCTTGTGATTTGTTTTGTTATGTTTCGTTGCTGATAGTTGTGAGTGTGTAGTTGCTGATGCCCAATTCTGAAGTGGAACGACCAAGTGCTACTTTCATCGGACAGACTGACATGGATATGTGCGAACATTCTCCATCACTGGTCGAGGTTTACTTGGAACGATTCACACCACACTGCAGAATGTCTGTCCAGACCGTTCCACTTCAACACCAGCTCCTGTAGTTGCCCGAGTCTTTTGTTAGCATGCCTTGGTGATTACATCAGATTATGATGAAAACCGTTTGTTTGGATTTTACTAGTAATGTACTGTAAACGTGTTTTTTAGGACACAACTGGATACTGTTTGAGATTTAGTTCGAATTTATTTTGTTCAGTATTTCCCCGTTGTTGATTCATCATCAAGGCATCCAAATTATTTCTGAGCATTATAAACTGCTTTAAGAAGAAACGTCCAAACAGTATTACGCAAATCTTTTGAAGAATGACATTTGGTTGATTTGTTGAATGCTAAACTGGCATTAAGATACACTGCTGCAGTAGTCAATCTAGTGCTGCTTATACAAAGGCAGACAACTCTTTCAGAGCACTGTCCAATGGGCAGACAACTCTTTCAGAGCACAGTCCAGTGGGCAGACAACTCTTTCAGAGCTCTGTCCAATGGGCAGACCACTAAAAGAACTGCCATAAGGGTAGACAACTCATTGTTACGACACAAGTTTTTCACTGTATATTGCCCATCACCTCACATCTCCATCAACTGAAACCTATATTTTCTTACTGTCTGTGTGTATACATATGTTTCATGTCAAATTACAAGATAACTATTTATTCATAGCCATATATATCTCCGAACGTCCACTAAAGATCCGACCACTAGGTGGTTGCATGTGCCTTAAACATATTGTACGTCTCAAGACAGCATCTACTTAGTGTCAGGTACCAAACACCAAACAGGCTTTGTTAAATAGTTCTATTTATATGCATGTTGTCATGAACACGGTTTCCTGTTCGAGCAAAACCCATTAAATATATAAGATATATATGCAATTTGATAATTCGGCATTCTACTGCCCTCACTAATGTTTTCCCTGCCATCTCGTGTAATTCTTTTGTGTGCCTTTCTACTATTCTTTAGATGTCCAGGATATTCCCTCCACGGTTACAGTGTTAAATATAATGTTTGTAGTTTATGACAAAAGGTGAAAAAGTATTTGAAGTTTTTAGACCATTGTGGCAACTCGATATCTTGAGCAATAAATTATTCTTCTATAATATACATACATAATAGCACCTTAGCATGATATAACGATAATGAACTGAATATTTTTTTACACTTTAACAGCATGAAGTAATCACGTACATTTATTGTATTTTAAATTTAAGATTTTGAAACTTGTTATATGATATGAAGATGAAATATATTTTGAACATTTGCTACATGGAAATGTTTGAATACATTTATTGAATTTTATGATTGAGAAGTTTGAAACTTGTTATATGTCGTCACCTGAACTGTGAACCTGGGTGACATTTCATGCTCTTCTTGAACTGTCTTGCAATATATGACAGTAGAGTTCAACATAACACTATCAAAACAATAATATATTTTTATGCTTGGAAATGTTTCATTGTTATTTTAGCAGAAAACCGAAACCATCAAATATTGGTATGTGAAGAATGTTTCGTATTAAGACCTCACTGAGACAAAGAGTGCCTAATCAATTTTGTTAACAAATTTGTTGTGATTAATGCTGGGCAATAAATTCATACGGCTTTTGCTGTCATACGGTCATGCCATGCGACATACGGTCATGCCATGCGTCATACACACTGTCTTGTTACTCTTGTCTTTTGACAAAACACCAATCTTGAACACAGTTGTTAATTGAAGAATAAAGATCTTATTTGTCTTTGATATTTGCCTAACCTGATTGTAAATAATGCATTGTCATTCAATAATTACCCATCCTTCATCACTCATCATCATGTCAAGGTCACAGTGTTGGAGAAGGTCAGGGTCAGTCCCCAAGGACAAGATGGCATCTCTGAGTGGTATTGTCAGGATAAGCCTAGATCTTGTTCTACTTAACAGTGCCTGTCTTTCCTTGTTGTTTGTAAATTCTTAAGTGTAAATGTCAGATTTGTTAGTTAAGTCTTGTGTTTAAATTATATATAACCATTTAATATGTAAATTAATAGATCTAGGCCACATTGGTCTTGATTTATGGACAGACTAAATTATCTTTAAATCTTATAACAATTTTTGTTTACTGAGCAAACAACATTAGGGATCGTGAATTATTGGGGATATGTTTTTGAAAATGTGTGCTCTGTCTTCACTACAAAAAATATGCCCCAAAATGTCCATGATCCCCAACGTTTTTTGTTCAGGATATTAACATAAACTGTTTTTAAAGTGAAATTAATTTTATTGTAACAATTACCAGTATTTAATATACACATAAACTTATCTCCTGTTTTAAACAAAAGAATAATTCACTGGTAGAAGATAAGGTTCTGTTTCCTTCATATTGATCACATGATCAGTGATGTCAGTTTTTCCTCAAATATAGTACTCAATATTGTCTTACTCGAGAAGCAATTGAAACTGTTTTGCTACTTTGTCATGTCCTGTCATGCTATGGACATGAGTGACATGTTGGTGACATGTCAATCTGTCACCCTGACAGTACCATATGTCTGTGTCGGGGGCTGACAGGCCTTGTTTATACCAACTGAGGGAACATTTAGTCATAGATTACATTGTGAAGAATTCAAAATCTGCCTTTGAGCTTTAATTTCTGCGTTGAACAAAATTTGCTTTTATTTCAAACTGTAAAGTATATTGTATTACCTTGTCTATTTTCGATTTCTGAAAATGAAAAGTGACTTTAATTTTGTACTTTAATTTTTGAAGTGATCTTATTTTAAGTGTATTTTAAGACGTGAAATCTGCGACTCAAAGTTCTTCAGTAATTTTACTTCAAGTGTTCTTAACAATTGTACAGATATCTGTATGTTATGCTGATCATGCAATTTTAGTTAGAGATGGTCCACAACATATGATCGCCTCAGAAACATTTTTGAAACATAAGAAATAAAATCGTATCACATGTAATGAAGGATTAATTTTGTGTTTTTGCAGTGATGTTTCTGTGTCTCCAAAGCCACAAAGCGCAGGAGACAGGGTAATAATGCATGTAACATAAGACCCTTGTTCCTAAACCCAACTTCCCCTCCCCTCGCCTCCCCTCCCCTCACCCCATCCCTCCAGACACCAATCTATCACAAGCTTTAACTTACAACAGGTGTTGTGAGTCTAGTCACCTTTAGTATATATCATGTATGTGCAGGGTATGTGTAACCTGTATTCCTAACAAACTAATATTTTAAAGTTACTTTTAATTGTTTGAGGTATGATGTTCAGGAGTGTTTCTCCATGTTAGTAAGGGACTGAGCATCTCATATTCTGGAGGGGGTTGGGATTTTTTGAACAAAATAAATTGTCCCAGAAAATGTTTGAAAAGAAAATCATAATGCCTCACTCTGTTGAGAGAAAAAATAAATTGTCGTCCACAAAAATTACATTGTTGGAAGGTGTTTTTAAAAAAAATAAATAAAGTTTTAATTTTTAAAAAACCCATCTGGTTTTGCAGCTCTAGCTGAAAATATAGTAGTCACTAAACACAATCCCAGGACTAGCACCCCCACCTACCAGAATATTGTTTGGTTTGTCCCTCAGTAAGGACAATATTTTTAAGTAACTGATAACCATTAACCAACTAGTATTAAATGTAAAATTTTCTTTTTCGACATAAAGAGAAAGCTTTATAATAATTCTGATGTAACGATATGATGTTGAATATTCCATCAGTAAATACATTTGAAGATTTTGTTTCAAGGCTTCTGCCATGATCTGAACCAGCAGCTGGACTTAACTAAACCATTGTCCATTTTAACCCAAGCCACACTTGTACACCCAACCACCACCCCCGAATAAGCAGTTTCGATCATGCATTGTTTTTATAATATACAAATTTGTACAATATGTTTGAATAAATGCTTTTGTAAAGAACGCCATTTGTATTGTCATTTGCTTGTGGATTTGTGTTTACTGGTGGAGTCTCACAGATCATTATCAGTTGGGAGTATGTGGTTTCTGACTGATATAGGCTTTGAAACATTGCTGATGCTTAAAGAACTATTTCTTGGTAAGGCTGGGATGCAGGAACGGAGTTCGTCCGTCTGTCCATCCGTCCGTTTCTCAATGTGGACAAATCTCAAAAAGTATTCCAAGTTAGAGAAATTAAATTTTACACACTCATGTTACTCGCCATGATCTGAAATAAGTTCGAAAATTAGTGTCGTACATTCATTGTTTGCAGAGTTATGGCCCTTGCTCCACGCTTTTCTTTGTTATGTTTATTTGTTGATTAACGCGGCACTCAGCAATATTCCAGCCACATGACGGCGGTCTTAATAATGGAGCCTGGACAAGACAATCCAGTGATTGACATGAGCATCGATCCACGCAATTGGGATACGAAGACATGCATCAACCATGTCAGCGAGCCTGACCACCCGATCCCGTTAGTCGCCTTTTACAGCAAGCATGGGTTGCTGAAGACCTATTCTACCCTGGATCTTCACGGGTTCCATGCTTTTCAACTCTACATACTGTGTGAAATGGGGACACGTTTTCTCAGAAGCTACGGAAATTACATATATGAAATTGTCCATGCCTATTTGAGAGATACTTGTCAAGACTGAGTTCGAAAATTGGTCCCTTATCATCAGTCTTTTACTCCGGTAGGTATATGATACAGGCCTTTTGTACATACTTGCAGTGCGGGATATAGACCAATTTCAAAAATACAAAAATGTATCTTACAATTTGGGATACATAGTTGACAATATTTCACGGTGTTAACAGGACCAAAGACCTCTCCTCATTTGCATAGAAAAGAAACTTGGCAAAACGAACTTACTTTAGTGGCCCCTTGAGTTCGTTATAACCGAAGTTTACTGTGTTTAGAACACATTCTTCTTTTGGGGACGCCAGTAAAAAAAATAGATCGATGTATGTTGGGATTTATGTTTAAGATACATCTTTCTTAAATCGTGAGAAATGGGGCTTTTTAAGCTAATAAATGACATTCATCAGAACGACCTAGATTTTAATTTGCTCGCATCGTATATTTAAAACGTTCTTCATAGATCAGCATAGCATTGGAGTCACGCTATGTATGTGGAAAACATTGATTTTGAATGAATACCCGCGTGTGTAGTAATAATAATAATAATATTTATTTGTTTTGCTTTCTAAATCGGCTAATGTGTAAACTACGATAAAGAAACATGCGCTCAGATATCCATGTGTTGTATTAAACTATAGTTGTCAAGCTGGTACATACGCTTTCCTTAAATGGACAGATAGGTCACAATATATTTATTATTCGTCCGCAAAGGAAGAACAAGTTTATATCCTCAAAAGGTATTATCGTACATAACCCGATATTGCTCAAATTTCAGTGTAACCAGTGTTGGAGTGAGACTTTAAAAAATAATAATTCAAACCTAAGTTCCACCAGATTCAAGATTTCAGTTTCAAAACTTTAAATAGCAATAGTTAGTTGGCTTTGGTGATACAAGATAATCACCACGTTTTTGTTGTGAAGGTTTCTGCCAATCTCATTAAAATCAGATCTTTGTTCTCGCTTCCGCTAACTTTGTTTAGCGGTAGCGAGAACTCAGGTATGATTTTAATGAGATTGGGTTTCTGCTAAAATCGTAGACTAAGGGAAATAACTCTTGTTGTTCTGTCCTCTTCAACAGTGTTGTTCCAGTAGGGCTTTCAAAGCCATCATACCCACTTGAAACACAACGAAGTGGGTTTTCTGTTTTCCATATTTATCGTTGTCAAATATTTTCAAGTGGTCGTTGTTGGCCTCCACCCCCCAAAGTACTAGAATCTCTACTTTACTAAGAAAGTGTTATCCCAAATATAACATTAGAAAAACACGAAATGGTTTTTGATTGTGATGTATTTGATATTGTTAGAATAGTTTTGTTTTGGGCACTAATGTTGCAGTTTACAGTTTACGGCGATTCTTTTCAGCCTAGTAATGTTTTGAGAACGTTTTTAATTGTTCAATCAAGTCCAGTTTTCAAGTGTATACTTTCTTTTGCCCGGCAGTTTATATACCTTCTGCTTCCTTGGTATCATAAACAACACTGATTGATCCAGCAGAGAATTTAATTCCATTATCCCGCCTACATCTCATCCCATCACGTGATATCCAGATACATATTTACGATTATTCATTTATGGATATCAATGTCAACGAAACACGCTATTAACATACACAAATATCTGAAATCCCTTCAGTTCAAACTAAAACTAGACTGACAACAAATAGCCAAGCATGATGAACCGGTCAAATAAGGGAGGTTACTCTGCCTGGCTTAATGTTGAAGAGACTTGCGTGATGATAGTTGGGTTGGGGATTAATGTATGTGCCTTTTTTGTCTCGTTGATGATTGGCCAGTGCCATATACTTAGAATATTTGTTAACCCAAATGCAAGATTTGGCTTCTTGTTACGCCGGTATTGGTTAACTCCGATATAAATATATGACTATTAATGTAGATAATCGCTTTGCTCATCAATAGTGAGTGAGTGAGTGAGTATGGTTTTACGTGTTTAAATGTTTTATAGTGCTGTTATTTAAAAATTAGGTTTATGGAGATATAAACGTAAAACCCCGTGGGCACAGTGTAAATATCTTCTCGACAATACGAAATTAGTGACACCTAAAATAATACAAGCCAAGTACCGCCCACCCTATCAACAATAGTCAAGAAACTAGTAGGTATAGCCTATATTCATCTCGGTTTATGGAAACATAAACGTTAAAAGAATTGCTTGATTAGCCGATCAAATGCCATGGAGTGAGTGAGTGAGTATGGTTTTACGCCGCTTTTAGCAATATTCCAGCAATATCACGGCGGGGAACACCAGAAATGGGATTCACACATTGTACCCATGTCGGGAATCGAACCCGGGTTTACGGCGTGACGAGCTAACGCTTTAACCACTAGGCTACCCGACCGCCCTAAATGCCATGGAACCAGTTACGATATGTTTATTTATTTAAAAAACAACATAGATTATTGTTTTCTGTTTCTTATTCGACCAGATTTCAAATATTTGTTTTTCAAATGTGATTTTACGAAAATTATATTTTCAAATTTACATTCATAAATGTATGAATTGTTGATAAACTCGTGGCATTTTGAAAGAAAGAGAAAAATACGCACAGGCGGGAACCAGAACTATCTTTGCAACTATATTTGACTATGTACATAGTTAGAGCGTTGACCAATCTTTAAAGAAATAAAGACAATACTGTTTTCGATGCAATAAGCGCATAGGGCGATCTCAAAATTAGAATATTTGGCTCTTATTAGAATATAATTTTGGTGGGGGAAAAAACAGTTTTGAAACAGAGTTGAAAGACCGTAAATTTCGTGGTTTATGCTGACAGCCTGAAATGTTTATATACGACAGATATATTTTTTCCAGAATTTAATTGCCCATAATTAAGAGACATGTAACACACGAGTGCGTATTATACACGAATAAATATTTAATTGCCCATAATTAAGAGACATATAACACACGAGTGCGTATTATACACGAATAAATAAGTCTTGTGTACATTGATCAATCGGCAGGGGTGCTAATTGGGATTGTTCACTAGCCAATATATTAGCAAATATCGCCGTGGGCGCTTATTAGAGCGGGGCGCTTATTACGTCGAATACGGACCATTAAATATTTTGAAAATGAATTTTTAGTCAACAAATAAATATCGGCGATGAAGTGCCTCTAAATTTTCACTAAGTGGTTGAAGCATTCGTAAAATACATCAACCCGCCTCGGTGACAGGACTGCTGCCTCGTGAACTCGACACGTCACGTGAGCGGCCTTCCTGTGACGTGTATTACGAGTGAATTTTCAAGGAGTGAGTGAGTGAGTGAGTGAGTTGGGTTATCGCCGCTTTTAACAGTACTCCATTTATATCACGGTGTGTCAGCTTGATGTGGGAGGAAAGCCCGAAGTGAGGCAGGTCTCAGACGTTTACCACTTCGGTGAAACACACGAGCACGGGTATGGTGCTGACAAACCTAGAAACACAATCGGTGCGGACCGGGATTTGAACCCACAATCATAGGTTTCTGGCGTGCCTAACTGTCGCAACTCTGCACAACGAATTGCGGCAACATAGACGACTGACCCCTCGTCCAAAAGACCTTGGCATTGCTGAAACATTGCTACAAGACCACACGCTACCACGACAGGGCCTAGTCCACTGCTACCTCTAAACTACAACCACTTCCGATGGGATTACGGGTCAGAATAGGTCCCCAGCAACCTATGCTGGTCATAAGAGGCGAAATTATGGCTTGGGGACTTGGTTGATGCATGCCGTCGTACCCCGATGGCGCGTCGTGGGACGTTGAACATATTATCAATCAGTAGTTTGTCTGGTTCTGAATCCATTATTTACATTTTTCATGTAACTGGAATATTGCTGAGTGCGACGTTATTGCTCGGGCGTAATACCCGCATCCGCGGGCCGAAAAGACGAACGTTTAACTCACACGCTCCTGTTGGTAGTATTGGTTGCAATGAACAGTTCAAGTGGCACTTTCATATTAGTAGAAGGAATTTATTAAAATCATGGCAAAGTATAAATATATTTACAAACGTTTGGTGCACTCTCCCACATTTGAAAGAACACAACACACACTAGTTTTAAAACGAAGCGATTACTCATCTTCGTCCCAAATATGTTGTCTTAAAAAAGTGACGGTTTGTCGCGTGCTATGCGTCATGCGCGTTCCCTCCGCGCGACCTGCACGAGCTCGCCAGGTGCACAGTACAAGTAAATAGCCCCTCACAAAGTCAACTGAATACATTCTATACAGCGTGGGTCTGCTTGTACTGTCGGTATGAAATAACTCCCAGAGAGAAGAAAATCTTTTAATGGGGCTCTATTGAATCGAAAACATCTTTATAGAGTGAGTCATCACCGTATGACACTGACACATGTAGTCTATAGCGAGGACAACACTGCCTCCCCACCCCCAAGTATTCGCTACAGTACCCCCGTACAGAGCATCTCCACACCGGCGCCTTGCTGTGTGGGCCTCCTTCACACCGTCTTCTGTACCCGCCTGTGTCTAGCTCGTCACACCACCTTGTATACCTGCCTGTGTCTAGCTCGTCACACCGCCTTGTATACCTGCCTGTGTCTAGCTCGTCACACCGCCTTGTATACCAGCCTGTGTGGGGCTCGTCACACCACCTTGTATACCCGCCTGTGTCTAGCTCGTCACACCGCCTTGTATACCCGCCTGTGTCTAGCTCGTCACACCGCCTTGTATACCTGCCTGTGTCTAGCTCGTCACACCGCCTTGTATACCTGCCTGTGTCTAGCTAGTCACACCACCTTGTACACCTGCCTGTGTCTAGCTCGTCACACCACCTTGTATACCTGCCTGTGTCTAGCTAGTCACACCACCTTGTATACCTGCCTGTGTGGGGCTCGTCACACTACCTTGTATACCTGCCTGTGTCTAGCTCGTCACACCGCCTTGTATACCTGCCTGTGTGGGGCTCGTCACACTACCTTGTATACCTGCCTGTGTCTAGCTCGTCACACCACCTTGTATACCTGCCTGTGTCTAGCTCGTCACACCACCTTGTGTACCTGCCTGTGTCTAGCTCGTCACACCGCCTTGTATACCTGCCTGTGTGGGGCTCGTCACACCACCTTGTATACATGCCTGTGTCTAGCTCGTCACACAGCCTTGTATACCCGCCTGTGTCTAGCTCGTCACACCGCCTTGTATACCTGCCTGTGTCTAGCTCGTCACACCACCTTGTATACCTGCCTGTGTGGGGCTCGTCACACTACCTTGTATACCTGCCTGTGTCTAGCTCGTCACACCACCTTGTATACCTGCCTGTGTGGGGCTCGTCACACCACCTTGTATACCTGCCTGTGTCTAGCTCGTCACACCGCCTTGTATACCTGCCTGTTTGGGGCTCGTCACACCACCTTGTATACCTGCCTGTGTCTAGCTCGTCACACCACCTTGTATACCCGCCTGTAGCTCGTCACACCACCTTATATATCTGCCTGTGTCTAGCTCGTCACACCACCTTGTATACCTGCCTGTGTCTAGCTCGTCACACCACCTTGTATACCTGCCTGTGTCTAGCTCGTCACACCACCTTGTATACCTGCCTGTGTCTAGCTCGTCACACCACCTTGTATACCCGCCTGTGTCTAGCTCGTCACACCACCTTGTATACCTGCCTGTGTCTAGCTCGTCACACAGCCTTGTATACCTGCCTGTGTCTAGCTCGTCACACCACCTTGTACACCCCGCTTTGTCTAGCTCGTCACACCACCTTGTATACCAGCCTGTGTCTAGATCGTCACACCACCTTGTAATACCTGCTTGTGTCGAGCTTGTCACACAACCTTGTATACCTGTCTGTGTGGGGCTCGTCACACCAGCCATAACTTGAGGATGGTATTAGCAATATTGACAATAAAAAAGCAACACTTATTAATTATTACCTTTTTAACATTTATTTTGCTTCAGTATCTCATTTCGCACCTTTACGACAAATGCATAGTTTCCAAGAGTCTACAGTAGAAATGATGTATGGTCAGATTATGGTACTATTCCTCTCAAGACCATAAACATGTCTGATGTGCTACTGCAAGATATACAAATGTGGTTCAATTAGGACATACACCTACAGTGTTTGTGAAAGTCGATGTAGTCTAACTGTAGCTTAGATACCTTTTATTCTACTTTGGAACCGAGCTCTTTGGAAAACAACGAAAGTCAAGGCCATCTTTATCCTTTCTCTCAACCCGACTTATATTCGCTACAGAATACATCCGATTTACTCCATAACAAGCACGAGTGACCCCTCGCTGTGTTGCCAGGATCTGCGACTTGTGTTTTAGAATCCTACTCTGGCAGCGAATATCATTCTTGGTTTTGTCGCCGCCATATGGTCGAAGCCTTCAACAACTGGACTTTCAAACAGCGAGTTTCAGTGATGTCACGGCATGCCAGCTGTTGTGAAACCGGAACCGGGGATCATAATCGAGTGGTTCTTGGATTCGAACCCACGACGAGGATCCTGACACAGTTAGGAACTTCATTCTGCACGAAGAATGGCATTCCTACTGTTCCGAGAACATGTTGAAAGTGTCATATAGTTCTCCAGATGTCAGCATGTAAGCTTAAAGACGCAGTTGGACAAGTTGGGGGAAGAGAAACCCTATATGGCTGAAATAATGCCGATGCGACGTTAAATATTAACTCACTCACTCACTCAGGTACAGTTCCCAGCATCCCTTGCTTGTCGTAAAAGTCGACTCAATGGTCGGGCGATTACAACTGTGACCTAGCTAACTGTGATCCGTGCTCATGCTCTCAACCATTGGTTTGCCTGGTCCCGATTGGTTTGAATGCAAAACAATTTTTGACGAATTAGCAAAAGAGCCTTCAATAACATAAACGTGCACAATGATGACAAAGCTTGTTGCATAATGGATGAAATAGGAAATAAATGAAAATGACGCCAACAAAAATAATTATATGAGTCTGATCCGAGAGTCGTGTAAGTGTAAACATAAATGAATCGTGACAGTGTCTTGGAGCAAGGGACGCGCCAGTGAGCAGCTAGGTGGGAATGCGAGGAATGCAGGTGCGTGTAGGGCCTCTCTGCTTCCTCACACAGCTCCCGGCGAACTCTTGTCCTGGGGAATTAGCACGCAGTGAATGGCGTGTCTCAAGAGTTGAGATAATTGGTCGATTAAAATCTATAACGGACAAAAATAAAACAATTTGCACCTGGAAGAGTGCCAGATTGTAATGCGATCCCCCCGTAGTCCGTGTCTAACGTGCAGATTCGACCGTACAAGCACAAGACGACCTCTACCTTTTACAATAGGAACTACTGTACTTTTGGGAGTTCGGGACGTCGATATGTCAATCGTACCCCATCTCTCTGATAGACCCAGATGTGGCTACCATGACGCTCTCATCTCTCTGATAGGCCCAGTCGTGGCTACCATGACTCTCCCCATTTCTCTGATAGACCCAGTCGTGGCTACCATGGCTCTCCCCATCTCTCTGATAGACCCAGATGTGGCTACCATGACGCTCCAGTCTCTCTGATAGACCCAGACGTGGTTACCATGACTCTCCCCATTTCTCTGATAGACCCAGTCGTGGCTACCATGACTCTCCCCATTTCTCTGATAGACCCAGTCGTGGCTACCATGACGCTCCCCATCTCTCTGATAGACCCAGACGTGGCTACCATGACGCTCCCCATCTCTCTGATAGACCCAGTCGTTGCTACCATGGCTCTCCCCATCTCTCTGATAGACCCAGACGTGGCTACCATGACGCTCCCCATCTCTCTGATAGACCCAGTCGTGGCTACCATGACTCTCCCCATCTCTCTGATAGGCCCAGTCGTGGCTACCATGGCTCTCCCCATCTCTGTGATAGACCCACACGTGGCTACCATGGCTCTCCCCATCTCTCTGATAGACCCAGTCGTGACTACCATGGCTCTCCCCATCTCTCTGATAGACCCAAACGTGACTACCATGGCTCTCCCCATCTCTCTGATAGACCCAGACGTGGCTACCATGACGCTCCCCATCTCTCTGATAGACCCAGACGTGACTACCATGGCTCTCCCCATCTCTCTGATAGACCCAGTCGTGGCTACCATGACTCTCCCCATCTCTCTGATAGCCCCAAACGTAGCAACCATGGCTCTCCCCATCTCTCTGATAGACCCAGTCGTGACTACCATGACGCTCCCCATCTCTCTGATAGACCCACACGCAGCTACCATGGCTCTCCCCATCTCTCTGATAGACCCAGATGTGGCTACCATGACGCTCCAGTCTCTCTGATAGACCCAGTCGTGGCTACCATGGCTCTCCCCATCTCTCTGATAGACCCAGTCGCGGCTACCATGACGCTCCCCATCTCTTATAGACCCACACGCAGCTACCATGGCTCTCCCCATCTCTCTGATAGACCCAGATGTGGCTACCATGACGCTCCCCATCTCTCTGATAGACCCAGACGTGGCTACCATGACGCCCCCTATCTCTCTGATAGACCCACACGCAGCTACCATGGCTCTCCCCATCTATCTGATAGACCCAGTCGTGGCTACCATGACGCTCCCCATGTCTCTGATAGACCCAGTCGTGACTACCATGACTCTCCCCATCTCTCTGATAGCCCCAAACGTAGCTACCATGGCTCTCCCCATCTCTCTGATAGACCCAGTCGTGACTACCATGACGCTCCCCATCTCTCTGATAGACCCACACGCAGCTACCATGGCTCTCCCCATCTCTCTGATAGACCCAGATGTGGCTACCATGACGCTCCAGTCTCTCTGATAGACCCAGACGTGGTTACCATGGCTCTCCCCATCTCTCTGATAGACCCAGACGTGGCTACAATGACGCCCCCCATCTATCTGATAGACCCAGACGTGGCTACCATGACGATCCCCATGTCTCTGATAGACCCAGTCGTGACTACCATGACTCTCCCCATCTCTCTGATAGCCCCAGTCGTGGCTACCATGATGCCCCCCATCTCTCTGATAGACCCAAACGTGGCTACCATGGCTCTCCCCATCACTCTGATAGACCAAATCGTGGCTACCATGACGCTCCCATCTCTCTGATAGACCCAGACGTGGCTACCATGACGCCCCCCATTTCTCTGATAGACCCAGTCGTGGCTACCATGGCTCTCCCCATCTCTCTGATAGACCCAAACGTGGCTACCATGGCTCTCCCCATCTCTCTGATAGACCCAGTCGTGGCTACCATGACGCTCCCCATGTCTCTGATAGACCCAGTCGTGGCTACCATGACTCTCCCCATCTCTCTGATAGCCCCAAACGTAGCAACCATGGCTCTCCAGATCTCTCTGATAGACCCAGTCGTGACTACCATGACGCTCCCCATCTCTCTGATAGACCCACACGCAGCTACCATGGCTCTCCCCATCTCTCTGATAGACCCAGATGTGGCTACCATGACGCTCCAGTCTCTCTGATAGACCCAGACGTGGTTACCATGGCTCTCCCCATCTCTCTGATAGACCCACACGTGGCTACCATGGCTCTCCCCATCTCTCTGATAGACCCAGTCGCGGCTACCATGACGCTCCCCATCTCTTATAGACCCTCACGCAGCTACCATGGCTCTCCCCATCTCTCTGATAGACCCAGATGTGGCTACCATGACGCTCCCCATCTCTCTGATAGACCCAGACGTGGCTACCATGACGCTCCCATCTCTCTGATAGACCCAGTCGTGGCTACCATGACTCTCCCCATCTCTCTGATAGACCCAGTCGTGGCTACCATGACGCTCCCCATCTCTCTGATAGACCCAGTCGTGGCTACCATGACGCTCCCCATCTCTCTGATAGACCCAAACGTGGCTACCATGACGCCCCCTATTTCTCTGATAGACCCACACGCAGCTACCATGGCTCTCCCCATCTATCTGATAGACCCAGTCGTGGCTACCATGACGCTCCCCATGTCTCTGATAGACCCAGACGTGGCTACCATGACGCCCCCTATTTCTCTGATAGACCCACACGCAGCTACCATGGCTCTCCCCATCTATCTGATAGACCCAGTCGTGGCTACCATGACGCTCCCCATCTCTCTGATAGACCCAGACGTGGCTACCATGACGCCCCCTATTTCTCTGATAGACCCACACGCAGCTACCATGGCTCTCCCCATCTATCTGATAGACCCAGTCGTGGCTACCATGACGCTCCCCATGTCTCTGATAGACCCACACGCAGCTACCATGGCTCTCCCCATCTCTCTGATAGACCCAGATGTGGCTACCATGACGCTCCAGTCTCTCTGATAGACCCAGACGTGGTTACCATGGCTCTCCCCATCTCTCTGATAGACCCAGACGTGGTTACCATGGCTCTCCCCATCTCTCTGATAGACCCAGACGTGGCTACCATGACGCCCCCCATCTATCTGATAGACCCAGTCGCGGCTACCATGACGCTCCCCATGTCTCTGATAGACCCAGTCGTGACTACAATGACTCTCCCCATCTCTCTGATAGCCCCAAACGTAGCTACCATGGCTCTCCCCATCTCTCTGATAGACCCAGATGTGGCTACCATGACGCTCCCCATCTCTCTGATAGACCCAGACGTGGCTACCATGACGCTCTCATCTCTCTGACAGACCCAGTCGTGGCTACCGTGGCTCTCCCGATCTCTCTGATAGACCCAGATGTGGCTACCATGACGCTCCCATCTCTCCGATAGACCCAGTCGTGGCTACCATGACTCTCCCGATCTCTCTGATAGGCCCAGTTGTGGCTACCATGGCTCTCCCCATCTCTCTGATAGACCCAGACGTGGCTACCATGACGCTCCCATCTCTCTGATAGACCCAGTCGTGGCTACCATGACTCTCCCCATCTCTCTGATAGACCCAGTCGTGGCTACCATGACGCTCCCCATCTCTCTGATAGACCCAGTCGTGGCTACCATGACGCTCCCCATCTCTCTGATAGACCCAAACGTGGCTACCATGACGCCCCCTATCTCTCTGATAGATCCAGTCGTGGCTACCATGGCTCTCCCCATCTCTCTGATAGACCCAGTCGTGGCTACCATGGCTCTCCCCATCTCTCTGATAGACCCAGTCGTGGATACCATGGCTCTCCCCATCTCTCTGATAGACCCAGTCGTGGCTACCATGGCTCTTCCCATCTCTCTGATAGACCCAGTCGTGACTACCATGGCTCTCCCCATCTCTCTGATAGACCCAGTCGTGGCTACCATGGCTCTCCCCATCTATCTGATAGACCCAAACGTAGCTACCATGGCTCTCCCCATCTCTCTGATAGACCCAGAGGTGGCTACCATGACTCTCCCCATGTCACACCTATCAGTGCTCCGTGAGGATCCGGGGTGGAATAGTTCTTTAGGGTACCGCTGACACCCTCAATGCTCAAAGACCTCAGTATGACAGTCGAGGTTACCGCTGACACCCTCAATGCTCAAAGACCTCAGTGTGACAGTCGAGGGTACCGCTGACACCCTCAATTCTCAAAGACCTCAGTATGACAGTCAAGGTGACCGCTGACACCCTCAATGCTCAAAGACCTCAGTGTGACAGTCGAGGGTACCGCTGACACCCTCAATGCTCAAAGACCTCAGTGTGACAGTCGAGGGTACCGCTGACACCCTCAATGCTCAAAGACCTCAGTGTGACAGTCGAGGTTACCGCTGACACCCTCAATGCTCAAAGACCTCGGTATGACAGTCGAGGTTACCGCTGACACCCTCAATGCTCAAAGACCTCGGTATGACAGTCGAGGGTACCGCTGACACCCTCAATGCTCAAAGACCTCAGTATGACAGTCAAGGGTACCGCTGACACCCTCAATGCTCAAAGACCTCAGTATGACAGTCGAGGGTACCGCTGACACCCTCATTGCTCAAAGACCTCGGTATGACAGTCGAGGGTATACACTCTTATCACCTACCTGGCTGTGGAGAACGTTTTCTCGACACAGAGCGTCCTAGATTACCGAACAATAAACAGAATAGAGAAATTATGCCTAAATACCTGGGTCTCGATATGAGGGCCACTTAGAGCTGGAATGCCGCTCTATAGGGGGTACTTGCGACTGCTGGTTTTGTTGTTTACTGATTGTAGCTGTAGACGATTCATTGCCCGGTCCACGGGGTACCTTGCACCGTCCGGTCGGATCTAACACGGTCATTCAAAGTCCCTTAACTTTTCTTAACCTTCACAGATACCAACAGACCAACGTGGGTCTATTGAATATTATCGTAAAGTATTTAATCAGTCAGTGATTAAGTGCACATTTCAGAATAAGGCGATGACACGGGCGGTATGTGTACTGCGTAAACCGCTTAATGTTGCATCAGCAAGTAAAAGCTCAATGCCATTAAAACTATGTGGGCTAAATTTCTTTAACATAAGCCTGATCTTATACTGCATGTTCGTAGTCTGATAGTCTCCCATACGAGCCCGCACATTTTATTTTCAACTGACATTTAGTCCCAGTTCTCTTATTCAAAAAAATTATATCTGCAAAGTAAATCCTATCCTCAAATCCTTAATTTCCTGGAGTTGAGGCAATCTTGACTTGAGATGGATTCCTGTTCCTTTGTTCTCTTGGGTCTGGTAGAAAGACTAATTTTATGTTAACAAGACAATATCATCCCGATTCCATTCTCAACCCCCTTTCAGCTCTAGGAGCCCATACTCGTCCCCTTTTCAGCTCTAAGAGCCCATACTTGTCCCCTTTTCAGCTCTAGGAGCCCATACTTGTCCCCTTTTCAGCTCTAGGAGCCCATACTTGTCCCCTTTTCAGCTCTAAGAGCCCAAACTCGTCCCCTTTTCAGCTCTAAGAGCCCATACTTGTCCCCTTTTCAGCTCTAGGAGCCCATACTTGTCCCCTTTTCAGCTCTAGGAGCCCATACTTGTCCCTTTTTCAGCTCTAGGAGCCCATACTCGTGCCCTTTTCAGTTCCAGCAGCCTACACTCGTCCCCTTTTAAGTTCTAGCAGCCTACACTCGTCCCCTTTTCAGTTCTAGCAGCCTACACTCGTTCCCTTTTCAGTTCTAGCAGGCAAAACTCGTCCCCTTTTCAGTTCTAGCAACCTATACTCGTCCCCTTTTCAGTTCTAGCAGCCTACACTCGTCCCCTTTTCAGTTCTAGTACCCTACACTCGTCCCCTTTTCAGTTCCAGCAGCCTATACTCGTCCCCTTTTCAGTTCTAGCAGCCTATACTCGTCCCCTTTTCAGTTCTAGCAGCCTATACTCGTCCCCTTTTCAGTTCCAGCAGCCCCTTTTCAG